ATTCACCTGTGAAGCCATCTGGTCCTGGACTTTTGTTTGTTGGGAGATTTTTAATCACAGTTTTAATTTCATTACTTGTGACTGGACTGTTCATATTTTCTATTTCTTCCTGGTTCTGTCTTGGAAGGTTATACGTTTCTAACGATTTTTCCACTTCTTCCAGGTTGTCCATTTTATTGGCATAGAGTTGTTTGTAGTAGTCTCTTAGGATGTTTTGTATTTTGATGGTGTCTGTTGTAACTTCTCCTTTTTCATTTCTAGTTTTATTGATTTGGGTCCTCTCCCTCTTTTTCTTGATGAGTCTAGCTAATGTTTTATCAATTTTGTTTATCTTCTCAAAGAACCAGGTTTTAGTTTTATTGACCTTTCAGTTTTATTGTTTTCTTTTTTTCTATTTCATTTATTTCTGCTCTGATCTTTATGACTTCTTTCCTTCTACTAACTTTGGGTTTTGTTTCTTCTTCTTTCTCTGGTTCCTTTAGGTGTAAGGTTAGATTTGAGATTTTTCTTGTTTCTTGAGGTAAGCTTGTATAGCTATAAACTTCCCGCTTAGAACTGCTTTTGCTGCATCCCATAGGTCTTGGATCATCGTGTTTTCATTGTCATTTGTCTCTAGGTATTTTTGATTTCCTCTTTGATTTCTTCAGTGATCTCTTGGTTATGTAGTAACGTATTGTTTAGCCTCCACGTAATTGTGTTTTTTAAGTTTTTTTCCCCTGTAATTGATTTCTAATCTCATAGTGTTGTGGTCAGAAAAGATGACTGATATGATTTCAACTTTCTTACATTTACTGAGGCTTGATTTGTGACACAAGATGTGATCTTTCCTGGAGAATGTTCCATCTGAACTTGAGAAGAAAGTGTAATCTGCTATTTTTGGATGGAAAGTCCTATGAATATCAAGTAAATCTGGTCTATTGTGTCATTTAAAGCTTGGGTTTCCTTATTAATTTTCTGTTTGGATGATCTGTCCATTGGTGTAAGTGAGGTGTTAAAGCCCTTCAGTATTATTGTGTTACTGTCAATTTCCTGTTTTATAGTTGTTAGCGTTTGCCTTATGCATTGTGGTGCTCCTATGTTGGGTGCATATATATTTATAATTGTTATATCTTCTTCTTGGATTGATCCCTTGATCATTATGTAGTGTCCTTCCTTGTCTCTTGTACCATTCTTTATTTTTAGGTCTATTTTATCTGATATGTGTATTGCTACTCCAGCTTTCTTTTGATTTCCATTTGCATGGAATATCTTTTTCCATCCACTCACTTTCAGTCTGTATGTGTCCCTAGGTCTGAAGTGGGTCTCTGGTAGACAGCATATATATGGGTCTTGTTTTTGTATCCATTCAGCGAGTCTGTGTCTTTTCGTTGGATCATTTAATCCATGTACGTTTAAGGTAATTATCGATATGTATGTTCCTATTACCATTTTCTTGTTATGGGTTTGTTTTTGTAGGTCCTTTTCTTCTCTTGTGTTTCCCACGTAGAGAAGTTCCTTTAGCATTTGTTTAAATGTTCCTTTAGCTAGTTTGGTGGTGCTGAATTCTCTTAGCTTTTGCTTGTCTGTAAAGTTTCTGATTTCTCCATCGAATCTGAATGAGATCCTTGCTGGGTAATCTTGGTTGTAGGTTCTTCCCTTTCATTGCTTTAAATATGTCATGCTACTCCGTTCTGGCTTGTAGAGTTTCTGCTGAGAAACCAGCTGTTAACCTTATGGGAGTTCCCTTGTATAGTATTTGTCGTTTTTCCCTTGCTGCTTTCAATAGTTTTTCTTTGCCTTTAATTTTTGCCAATTTGCTTACTATGTGTCTCGGCATGTTTCTCCTTAGGTTTATCCTGTATGGGACTCTCTGAGCTTCCTGGTCTTGGGTGGCTATTTCCTTTCCCATGTTAGGGAAGTTTTCAACTATAATCTCTTCAAATACTTTATCGGGTCCTTTCTCTCTCTCTTCTCCTTCTTGGACCCCTATGATGTGAATGTTGTTGCATTTAATGTTGTCCCAAAGGCCTCTTAGGCTGTCCTCATTTTTTTCATTATTTTTTCTTTATTTTCTCCTGCAGCAGTGAATTCCACCATTCTGTCTTCCAGGTCACTTATCTGTTCCTCTGCCTCAGTTATTCTGGTATTGATTCCTTCTAGTGTATTTTTATTTCAGTTATTGTACTGTTCATCTCTGTTAGTTTGTTCTTTAATTCTTCTAGGTGTTTGTTCTTTAATTCTTCTAGGTCTTTGTTAAACATTATTGCATCTTCTCGATCTTTGCCTCCATTCTTTTTCCAACGTCCTGGATCATCTTCACTACCATTATTCTGAATTCTTTTTCTGGAAGGTTGCCTATCTCCACTTCATTGTTTTTCTGGGGGTTTATTTTGTTCCTTCATCTGGTACATAGTCCTCTGCCTTTTCGCCTTGTCTATCTTTCTGTGAATGTGGTTTTTGTTCCACAGGCTACAGGATTGTAGTTCTTCTTGCTTCTGCTATCTGTCCTCTGGTGGATGAGGCTATCTAAAAGGCTTGTGAAAGTTTCCTGCTGGGAGGGACTGGTGGTGGGTAGAGCTCTCTTTTGCTCTGGTGGGCAGAGCTCAGTAAAACTTTAATCCACTTGTCTGCTGATAGTTCCGTCTGGGCTCCTTCCCTGTTGGTTGTTTTGCCTGAGGCGACCCAACACTGGAGCCTACCCAGGCTCCTTGGTGGGGCTAATGGTGGACTCTGGGAGGGCTTACGCCATGGAATACTCCCCAGAACTTCTGCTGCCAGTGTCCTTGTGTCATGGTGAGACACTGCTACCCCCCGCTTCTGTAGGAGACCCTCCAACACTAGCAGGTAGGTGTGGTTCAGTTTCTTATGGGGTCACTGCTCCTTCCCCTGGGTCCTGACATGTACACTACTTTGTGTGTGCCCTCCAAGAGTGGCGTCTCTGTTTCCCCCAGTCCTGTCGAAGTCCTGCAATCAAATCCTGCTAGCCTTCAAAGTCTGATTCTCTAGGAATTCCTCCTCCCATTGCCAGACCCCTAGGTTGGGAAGCCTGACGTGGGGCTCAGAGCCTTCACTCCAGTGGGTGGACTTCTGAGGTGTAAGTGTTCTCCAGTTTCTGAGTCACCCACCCAGCAGTTATTGGATTTGATTTTATTGTGATTGCGCCCCTCCGACCATCTCAGGGCAGCTTCTCCTTTGTCTCTTGATGTGGGGTATCTTTTTTTGGTGAGTTCCAGTGTCTTCCTGTCGATGACTGTTCAGCAGTTAGTTGTGATTCTGGTGCTCTCACAAGAGGGAGTGAGAGCACGTCCTTTTACTCTGCCATTTTGAACCCTTGCCCTCATTCTTGAAAGACAGATTAGTTGGACATGGAATTTTCAAATTTTAGACTGCCAGTTAATTTTTTTTCCTTAGCACCTTGAAAACATCATTCTATTGTCATTTCTTCCAAGTTTCTTAATAAATTGCCACTTTCTCCCATCCTCAAACTACTTTCTGGGTAATTTTCTCAAATCTGTCTTTCAATACTATAATTTTTACTTGAGTAAGTTCCATTTGGTTATTTTTAAAGCATACCTGGTACTTTCTCTCTCATTCTTTTGATTACTACTGTAGGATATTTAAGACTTCAGTTCTTGGGGATCTAAGAAACTTCTTGCTGTTATGCCTGTTAACTCACTCATGGTGGGTTGTTCACCTATGTTTTCTAATTTTAGGTTGTAAGCTTACTTCAGCAGTGTTTTAGCTATAGCAATCCTGTAGCCTACATGGTTACTTTGTATTTATCTTTTCAGGTGCCTCAAAAGGTTTAATAAGCCCAGGACCATTTTGTTCATTTTGGGGCTAAGTGGTTCCTGGGCTGAGCATGGAATGTAAATTCACATCCCAAACTGTAATAAAGATATAGGTATAAATGGTTAGGGGAGACCTCAGCCTCACCCACATCTTAAGCCTGAGCTCAGGATAAGCTTCTTTTTTACCAATTTGCGCTACTGGAAGAGTTTTTCTAATCTACCATTTCATAGCAATAATCTCCCTTTGAGGGTTCCAGCTTCATGTGGCAGTCCTCTCAAAGGCCACACGAACCCTAGGCCTTTTATTTATCTCAGTGTGGGTGATGCCAAGCTCATGAAATATCTACCCTTTAGTAGTCATAGGTTACTGAAATCAGCAAGGGGCATTTGTACCATCAATCTCAGTTTTCAGTCTACTGCTCTGATTTATAGCTCTTTCATTCTAGTTCATAAGAATTATCTTCTTTTTTGGAGCTTATCTATGGTTTTAAAAGGGTATCTGTTATATTTTATCCAATGTTTCTAAGTGTTTTGTAATAGGTAGGTTTTCAGGTTATCTCATCCATCATATTACCAGCAACTTTAAATTTGATTTTCTTAATTCTTTAAATTCTCCTACCCTCTTTCTCTTCTGTTTAAATATATAAACAATAAATATAATTTTAACTGTTACTATTCCTAGAAATACAAACTAAAAGCAAAAAGCAGAAGTAGTTAGCAACCAGTCTCAACCTGTCAGAGTTATTTAAAAACATCCTTCCCTGTGGTACTTTCCAATAAAACTCTGTATGATTAGCAGAGGACAGCATGGTAAGAACAGAACTAAGATGATACATTTGTGTTTTGGTTTTGACACTGTTATAACCAACTCTGAGACCTTTGACAAGATACTTTAACGTCTATGGCTTATTTTACCTCCTCATAGAGGTGTTTATGAATCTATGATCACACTGATCAATACCTATACTCTCCAATTAAGAACACACAGATTTTAAGAATCTTAAAATAATAACATTAATGTATGCGTGACATTCCTGAAGTTTATGTTGTAGTTTATTTAACTACAACAATGCTGAGATGCTAGGTATTCAATGATGTGACTGAAATAAAATTTTTAAAAAGTTGTAACGTCAGTTTAAATAGTAAGTATCTGCATGAACCAAAATAATACATTATACAAATCACATCTTATTATGTTCTTCTTAGAAGTGACTGCATACTTAATACTACCTTAGCTTTTGGAGTAGCTTTAATCGTCCAGATGCAATCAACTGCTTGGCCAGGTTTTGTTTTTTCCTCTTGTTCTACCTGACTAGAACGTATTATTCCGTCAGCTCCTGACAGCTCAAACTGGCAATCTAGAAAGAACAGATGAATGATGTTCAAAGGAAAATAAGATTGATCAAAGATGCCATGAGGAAAAAGAGGTAATATACTAAACCTGGGATGGGATTTAAAATACCTCCTAGGTAAGTAAAGTCTGGATCTGTAACAGAGAAAAGAAGAAAGTCATTGGCATTGAGGTAGTTTAGAGTTACTTTAAGGCTTAATGTCTTATGTTATGTCTAATGCTATACTTAACAAAGCAAGAGAAATCTTCCATTTGTGTAAACTACAGACCACTGGTTATTTATGAGCATACTGAAGTGCTCACTTATAGGATCGATATTTTAAAAATGATAACGTTTATACTTTTGATCCCATTATGAACTAAAAACTTATTTATGCTACCTGAAAACTCACAACTCTATGTCAACTGCACTAGCTAGTCCATTGATGGATGAATGAGTAAACAAAATGTAGTATAAATAATACAATGGAATATTATCCAACCTTAAAAAGGAATGAAATTCTGACACACGCTACAACATGGATGTGTGTGGAAACATTATGCTAAGTAAAATAAGCCAGACAGTTAAGGACACTATGATTTCCTTTATTGAGGTCCCTAGATTAGTTGAATTCAGAGACTGTTTTCACAGGGCTGTAGGGAGGGAGGGATAGGGAGTTAAGTGTTTAATGGGGACAGAGTTTCAGCTTGGGATGACAAAAAAAGTTCTTGAAATGCACGGTTTGATGGTTGCACAACATTGCAAGTGTACTTAATGCCACTGACTTGTACACTTAAAAGGTTTAAGATAGTGAATTTTATGTTACATATAATTTATCCCACCACAGTAGCAGCTAGTAAGTTGTTTTTTCCACAATGGCAGGAAAAAGAGAGATGACTAGATGATATATAGGATAGTCTGCCCTATGAAATAGTTCATAGAAAACTGACAACCAATAGTTTATATCAAAATAGCTGATTTAATTAAGTTGGCCAGGTATTTGATTTTTATGAACTAAATCAATTAACTGAATTGATTGACACTTTAGTATCAAAAGACATTACAAAGTCCTATATAGAGTCAGATTTTTGCAAATAAGTTTAGACTGCCTGAAAGAAAAAATAAACATCTTAATCATTTGAATAATGTTTTTAAAAACATTAAAAAACAAAGCCAGGCAACTTTATATGTAAAGATTCTTTGAAGAAATGCAGTTCTTTTTCTTCTATTAGTTTTATGTATCATAAGAGCAACTTCATATGGCTTATGGTTTAAATATAAATTATAATAAAATGCTAAGGATTTCTATACTATATTACCTTATATTTGCATTTTATAGTACTCCAGAGTTTCTACAGACCTTATGTTTAATATTATGCTAATGACAATAACATCAAGAAGATCATGTATTATTCTGTTTTATAGATGAGGAAACTGAATCAGAGAGATTATGACTTTTTTAGACCATATAATAGCAAGGTCAGGACTAGATTCTAATTCTCTAGACAGTTTTTCTTACTGTAACATTTTTCTTTCTTACTCTTTCTTGCCTTTATAGTGTGGGTGATGATACCACAATTTTACCACTAAAAGAAAAAAAAACAATGTCAAAATAAATAGGCAATTCATCAATAGCTAAATCACAGCTGTCTAGTTATTTAAAGTCATATAAAGTAAATTTTGTGTAGGTAGTTGTAAATACGGATGAAACTTACTAACGATGATGAGAAATTAGTATCTTCTAAATAAACGAAATTATCTGAGCTACTGGTGATATTTGTTGAGGGAGAGGCTCTTAATGGATTGCTACGTCCTGGAAGTAACTGGGATAATTCTGGAAATTTTAGTGCAATAATGACAATGTCCTAGAATTCTTTCCTACATGTGACGAAATTCTGATTCACCTGCCAGATAGTTGCTATGACTTTCTACTCTAATGCTGTTTAAATTTAGATTTCTCTTTGACATTTCTCTGCAAAATTGCTGAAGTGTCGTCACTCCCTTTTATTTAGGGAGGTTGGGTTTAGATTATTAAGTTAAAAAAGAACAGTCTCTGTGATGTATGCTAGATTAAGCTAAAAATTTTCCTCTTACTTTTTTTCAACATGTACTTTGATAACCATGCAGAAAGTCAGTGGTTAAGATTCTGCGCTTCCACTGCAGGGGACACAGGTTGGATCCCTGGTTGGGAAGATCCCACATGCCACATGGCGTGGCCAAAACAACAAAGAAAACAATTTTAACAAGAACTGAGCAACCAGTTACATACAATAAACTGTGAGTTAAAATAGGTTTAAACAGGCTAATTAAAAATCCTGAGACCTTTTAGACTAGCAATTTTTTCATTCTGGTGGGTTGATATATATGTCTTCAATCTGAATTTTCAAATTAAGTTTTAGACACCTGTTTGTAATTTTTTAAATTTTTATTGTAGTAAAACATGTAACATAATATTTATCCTTTTACTCATTTTTAAGTGTACAATTCAGTGGCATTAAGTACATTCACAATGTTGTGCCACCACCAGCACAATCCAGTTAAATAAAAACTAAAGACAAATTTTAATATGATCCAGCAATTGCACTCCATGGTACTTAGCCAAATGAGTTAAAAACTTGTCCATGCAAATACCTGCATATGGATGTCTACAGCAGGTTTATCTGTGGTTGCTAAAACCTGGAAGCAGCCAAGATATCCTTCAACAGAACAGATAAACAAACTGTAGTACATCCTTACAATGAAATATCATTCTGCACTAAAAAGAAACAAGCTACCAAGCCATGAAAAAGCATGGAGGAACGTTAAGTAAATATTATTAAGTGAAAGAAACCAATCTGAAAAGCCTACATACTGTATGATTCCAACCGTATGACGTTCTGGAAAGGGCAAAACTATGGAGACAGTAAAAAGATCAGTGGTTGTCAGGGGTTGGGGTGGGAGGGATGAATAGGTGGAGCCCACAGAATTTTTAGAGCAGTGGGAATACTCTGTATAATACTGTAATGGCAGACATATGTCACTACATATCTGTCCAAACCCATAGAATGTACAACACTAAGAGTGAACCCTAGAGAACAGAGGTATGGATACCAAGCAGGGAGGGTGGTGGGATGAATTGGGAGATGGGGATTGACATATATACATTATTGATACTATGTGTAAAATAGATAACTAATGAGAGCCTGCTGTATAGTACAGGGAACTCTACTCAATCTTCTGTGGTGACCCAAATGGGAAGGAAATCCAAAAAGGAGGGGATATATGTATACAGATGGCTGAAAAAAAGAAACCCAAAAAACAGAGTGAACCCTAATGTAAAATATGGACTTCGGTGATGATGTGTCAATGCAGGTTCATCAGTTGTAACAAATGTACCCCTGGTGCAGGATGTTCATTTTAGGTTTTGGAGGTAGCTGTGTGTGTTGGGGGGTGGTTAGGAGGTATATGGTAACTCTGTACGTTCTGCTCAGTTTTGCTGTGAGCCTAAAAACTGTTCTAAAAAAAAAAAGAATACATTTTACTTTTTGAAAATGTTATTGTTTTGATATTGAGAACATAAATACTGAAGTGACACTTAAAAATACCATTAACACATTTACTAACAGGGAAAAAAAAAGGTGACTACATTGTTCAGGCAAAAAAGCTGGTAATCTAGCTGAAAGAATAGCATGATCTCTGTTATATAAAATAAACAAAATAAACAGATATAGAAAAACATCTGAAGGGATACACACCATATTGTTAACACTGGTTTTTTATTTATAGGGTGATAAGGTTATGGATATTTTCATTTGGATATGATTTAATTTTTTTAAGTTAGCAAATTTCTTGCATGAAAACATAAATAAAAGCAAAAAGATTATATAACTATAATTATATGCTCTTTACATAAATAAGAGCAAAAAGATTATATAATTTTATAATTATATAATTGTTACAATACATTACTTTTTCATCTTATTAAGTTTGTAAACTCTTGGAAGACAGGAGCAATAACTAGTGTATCTTTGTGCTGCCACATTAGGGATATGCATATCTTTACAGTAGACAGGCTTTGAGGACTATAAAGTGTTCCCACATAACCGTGTGGTAGGTAAGATAGAGTATGCTGATAGGTGGGCGTGCTCTCCGACCACCCAAATATATGCCCACATCCTAATCATCATAACCTATGAATACTACCTTATAAGGTTAAAAAAAGTGAATATTATATTTTAAGGCAAAGGACGTGATTAAGCTAAGGATTCTGAGAAGACAGGGGATGTGAAGATGGAGGCAGAGATTGGAATGATGAGGCCACACATCCAGGAATGGTGGGACAGCTACAAGAAGCTGCAAGAAGCTAGGAATGGATTCTCCCCTGGAGTTCCCATAGGGAACATGACCCTGCTGGATTCTGGCCTCCAGAACTCTGAGAAAATAAACTACTGTTGTCTTCAGCTGCCAAGTTTCTGGGAATTAGTTATGGTGGCCTCAGGAAGATATTCCCATCTTAGCAACAGCAACTCTTAGGCACAGCTCTGTGCTTAATAGTAAATTTTATAGCTAGTAGGTGGTAGAGAAAGGATTCACACCCAGATCTTTTGCCTCCAAGTGCAGAGTGCTATTCTTTCTATTGCTCAGTATTTTCTAGAGACTGTTTATTCAAATGAGTAATTGAATCATTCCAATGGAAAAAACCTGCCAAAATAATTTTTGGTATAGATCATGAAAATAAGACAATTTGTTGAATTATTTTTTAAATGTATTTATTTGTGATATCTTTGGCATTTGATATGTGCTATAAAACATACAGAAATCTAAGAAATAATGAGATACCATCTATGATATGCTTCAAAATTCAAGTGACATAGTTTTATTTCTAATTTTTTGTTAAGTTTTTATTTATTCATGGACTGATTTCCCTTTGACCTTTCTAACTTCTTTAAAGCCTTGATTTGATTACCTTGACTGAATTATCTCTTTTCTAGCCTTAAGATTCTAAAACCAGAGTGAGACCTAGCCACTGAAACAATAACTTCTTTACCTGGAATAAACGAATATTTTGCTCGAAATCCTAGTCCTTCAAGTTCTTCATCAGAACTGAACTTAATCCACATGAATCTCCCTGTTGATCTAATTAATGGAGGGCTTTTCACACCACAGTAACGATCTACAAGTGGAGAGAAACCAAACGGCCCATCTCGAACTTCCAAGTGATCAAACCGACATTCAAATGACGGTTCTATATAATAATGTTCATCAAAGGTCAACTCTATTCTTTGACGTGGAGCAGCTAGAAAATAAGAGTAAGCAAATTAGGGCAACGCAAACAAGAAAAAGTAAAAATGGCCTGACACAAGTGAGAAAAGCACAACAACTGCTCTGTTACTGTTTCATAGATGAGGATCATAATGAGAACTGTTATATATAAAATTCATGATAAATGTTACATTGTATACTAATAATATTATAATAATGCTACTCTGTAGAACTATAGTAATCTTTCCCTTTGGCATATGTTACTTATTAAATTGAATGTACTTAATTGATTAAAATTAGAGTTGAGAAGCTAATGCTTAGTTCATGAGATACAATGTACCATGATGAATAGAAAAACAGAAGAAATGAAAGAAACATATAATGTAACTATGGACATAAATTTGCAGAAAGGCTAATAAGAGATACCAGTAAGCTTAGGTTTCTTATCAGAGAAGTTTCTCATATATACTGATGCATCTAGTTAACTTATATTTTAGGAGATCCAAAATTCCTATAAAATTTCAACCATTATTTTTTTAATGTCAGTATTAAGAAATATTTATAATGACTACAGTTTAATTAAAATACATATTTAAATTTTGTTCAAACTGGTTTAACCAGGGCATTTAACCAATATATTTAGTTTTACAATAAGTAAAAATTCATCCAACGAAAGACAGAAATTGGTCAAATACCTTCCAAAATGTAGATACATTCCTTGTTTGGTGGATATGAGTCAGGATAATTTGGTGAAGCAAAATGACCTCCATTGCTGGTTCGAACCCAAATGCCACACTGGGTTGCAGGAATGTGCTTGATTCCAATATTTTGTCCATCTTAGGGAAACATGTAAAACATCACTTACAGTTCCCCCCACAACTTCCCCAAACAACTGCCCACTCTGTTACACACACATATATATAATTTTTAAGAACCACTGACAAATTCAGCATAACAAATTGAATATAGAAGTGAAATGAAGGTGAAGATGGTATGCTGTGCTGGCTAGAAGCATTTGCTCTAGAGGACAAGAATGGGGAAATAAAATGCGTAGATTTTACAAGGGCAAAACCATATGGGAGAATCTGATAAATCAGTAAAACTCTATAAAATTCAATTCTGACATAAAAATAAAAGGACCCCAGGAATTTATCTCTGGTGTGGTACCTCTACATTTAGTTTAGCACAAAGTCAAATAAGATTCAAAGATTACCAAGGGATTTTATTTTAGTTAAAGGTTGTAGATTGAACACATGCATTTAGCTCTGCTCCTTCTTCAAAGTCCACTTAAACGACAGTAAACAATTTTTTTAAGGGCGTAAACCCATAAGTACAAAGAGGTGGATGCAATAATGACAACTGGTAGCACTAGGTATCTCTGGCAGTGGGCGAGGAGGTGGTGAAGTTGGGCTTTTTAAAAACATGAGGCTTGGTTAAAAGTCTCTTTGGAATAAATTTGATTTCTAATACCCTCCCTACTCCACAAATCTAAGTAGCTGCTGCTCTATCACCATATCAGAAAATGAGACTATTTCTTTGGAGAAGGTACAACAGGGTTGCTGGACCAGGGGACACCAGGCACAGGCTGAGGGTAAAAATATCAACCTGAAAACAGGGAGATGAGGTGAATGTTAACATGCTGAACCACACCTCCCGTCTCTTCCCCCACTCCACTTCCCAAAGGCCTCTTGATCAGATGTAGAGCCTCTAAGTAGGAAATGGAATCTTAATCTTTTCTGGGGAATCTAATAAGCCCAAAGAAAAAGACTCAAGGATGTGGACTTGGTCACTCACCAGGGAGGGTGGCAGTAAAGAAGCCCTGTCTACACTTGCAGACAGCTAACGAGCAGATCTGCATGCTCCTCTCATAACTATGAAAGGCATTCAAGGAGCACCAGACATTTGAGGAAAGCCTCTAATATGAAAAACAGATTAAAAACAAACAAAAAAGCAACTCTGAGGATACAAAGATTATAGAATATTAAAAAAAAGCACTAAACAAAACGATCATTTAATCTCCTCAGAGAACAAGAGAGTACAGTTGACCCTTGAACAACATGGGATTGAACCGCGTGGGTGCGCTCACTACTTGGTCTGCAGTCAGCTGAATGTGAGGATGAGGAACCGCGAACACAGAGGCAGGTTTTGACTATGTGGGGATCAACACCGCTTACCCCTGCATTGTTCAAGGGTCAAATGTATATCGATAAGAACAAGGCATACTCGGGCTTCCCTGGTGGCGCAGTGGTTGAGAGTCTGCCTGCCGATGCAGGGGACACAGGTTCGTGCCCCGGTCCGGGAAGATCCCACATGCCGTGGAGTGGCTGGGCCCATGAGCCATGGCCGCTGAGCCTGCGCGTCCGGAGCCTGTGCTCCGCAACGGGAGAGGCCACAACAGTGAGAGGCCTGCGTACCACAAAAAAAAATATCACGTTTGGAGCAGAGGTCCATAAACTATGGTCCTGGACCAAATCTGGCCTGCTGCCTGTTATTGTAAATCAAGTTCACTGGACTATATCCATGCCCATTCATGTGCGTACTGTACTGTCTATGGCTGCTTTCACCCTGCAACTGCAGATCTGAATAGGTGCTCCTTCGACTACAAAGGCCTTCAAAACCTTAAATGATTACTATCTGGCCCTTTATAGAAAAAAGTTTTCCAATTCTTGGTTTAGCAGATAAAGTTGAGGAAGTCTCAGTGTATACTACTGAGAAGAAAACAGTTAAAAGAGAAATGAAAAACAGAAAAGATTTTTTTTAAAAAGTAACTTAATAATAAGAGTTCCTTGAAGACAGAAGAGAGAAAAATGGAGAAAAGGGAATTTTAAAAATTAAACAAGAAAAAAGGGAAAGAAAAATTTCCTACATCCAAAGACAAAATTTTCATATTGAAAAAGCCCAACGGGTGACTTGATGTAAACCCTGAAGAGATGTAACCAGAATTATAACAATACTGATGCGGGTGCTGCGGCACAAAGTTAAAAGAACACTTGTATGTGGTAGGTGGTGAGGATGAGGTGCATGAAACAGATCAATTCTCATCCCGCATGGTGGGAAAATTATTTTCTACTACCTGAAACTGAAAAGAACCAAGAAGAGCTGTATGGTATGTTATTTAGAAATATGCAGGAAAATACCAAAAGAATCAGCTAGGAGTGGCTATCTCCATGGAGAAATGGGGTAATAGGCTGGGGGACTGATTTTTCCTAATTAACTTTTTAGAATGCTTTGACTTTTGTCATGTGTATGTATAACTTTGATGAAAATAAAAATAAGTCAGGTTATTTAGGAAATGTACTAAACTCTGACATGAATATCTGGCTCAAAACTCACACTAGCTAATCCTCTTTCATAAACAAGGACAATTAGAAAAGGTCCCCAGGGCTTTGAATAAGCTATTGATGGAAACGTTTCATTTGTCTACACTGGAAAAAGGGATTTTTATTTTTGCTTAGTGATAAAGCATGAATCTCATTTGATTTTTGGACATAATCCATAGTATTCTAGGAGTCACTAGTTATGCCAATTTTTTAAATTTATCAATGCAAGACTTTATGTTAACAATTTACTCTAGCTAACTGCAGCTGAACCTAGCTGAACTGAGGCTGACAGGTTGATGGAAAGCCTTAGGTCACTGGAACACCCCAGAGGGATTATGGAAATAGTACTCAAAAGTTGAAATCCTTCCAAATAAGCCATCCCACTGTCCTGAACATGCAGTAAATTAGCAATGTAAGGTCTTTACCTTGGGTCTTTTGGGCCACAGCAATCCCTTCCACTACAAGTATTGTTATTAACAACACTAGAGAAATAAAAGAGAAGAGAAGTTAAAAAGTTGAATCTACATTAGATTTTACCAAGTTTATAAGAAAAATCAGGTTACAAAAAAAAGATGAACTAAAACTCCCTATTTCTTACTAACATTCACTCTCAAGATTTTTAAGTGTTAAATGTTATGTTGAGTTACTATGTGACACTTAAGACAACCCAAGGAAAAATGTAATTGATATTATACTCATTTATACAAGCACTAATAGTACATTTTCAACTTATGATGGATTAAAAAACACATACTTTTTTTTTTTAACAACAAACTAAGCTGACCCCAATTATCCTGTATTTATTTTACTGTCTCCTCAAAGACTTTACATGCATAATGGCTAGCTTTGCAATGTATTATGCCAGTAAAACTTCAATTAGATTATTTGACTTGTGAGAACACTCATAATAAAGACAGAAGTAAGAGGGCAGCAGTTTCCTAGAAATCAATTTAAGACACTCTATAGCTGTGCGGTACATCGCTGTGTCCTGCATTACGAAAGCTAGCATTATTTAGAAAATGGAGCTTCTCCCCACCCCCCGCCCCCAAGTTTAACATTTCTGATACCCAATGAACAATATATTGTTTTGTATATGTCTGTGTTTTGAAGATAACATGTTATTTTTAAGAATGATGCACTGATATCTTTTACTCTCCCTTTCAATGGAAACCACACTATCAGCCTCCTGTGTAAACTGGAGTTTTTATTATTCATTCGGTCAGCAGGCACATACAGAGTACCTACTGGAAACCAGGCAGTGAAGATACACAGATTGAGGCAGGGGAAAAATACAGCAAAACAGTTAAAAGAGAATGGACTTCAGGAGTTAGGTGGATCCAGGTTGGGGTTCAAGTTTTGCTCTGTACCAGCTGTGAGGCCTTTTCAGCTCAGTTTACTTATTTGTAAAACGGGGATGTTGTGCTAATAACACCAACATCACAAGGTTGCTGCGAAGATTAAATGAGGTGATGCACATTGCACAAAGCCCTTTATATGTGCCAGGCATTCTGCTAAATAAATGATAGATTTTAGGACAAACTGCCATCCTTAAGGAGTCAACCTATTGTCAAAGACAATCTACAATACAAGGTGAAAAGAGTTTAACAGGGGTCATAACAGAAAGCACAACTGAAGCAGAAAAGGGAACCATTCATTCAGCTGGGAGTTAAGAGGAATAGAGGAAAGCTTTAGAAAAAAAAGGTATATTCTAGTGGGACTGGAGAGAACTTCTACCCAGGAGAGGGAGAAAGAAACAGCTTAGACAAAAACATGGAGCCATGAGCACTTATCTATAGGTGATATTAGTGAAATTCGGAGTACGATAGTACAGTTAGCATATGGAGGGGAAAGTGGTACATCAGGTTAGAAATAGTAGGATGAGATCCAACTGTAAAAAGCCTTGAATACCATGCTAAAGAGTTTGGACCTTTGACTACAAGGAGAAATCACTGTGAGTTTTTAAACTAGAGAGTGACATTATCACATCTGTGTTTCAGACCACTAATCTTTTTTTTTTTAAATAAATAAATTTATGTATTTATTTATTTATTTTTGGCTGCTTTGGGTCTTCATTGCTGTGCACAGGCTTTCTCTAGTTGTGGCGAGTGGGGGCCACTCCCCGTTGTAGTGCACGGGCCTCTCACTGCAGTAGCCTCTCCTATTGCGGAGCACGGGCTCCAGGGCACGTGGGCTTCAGTAGTGGTGGCACACGGGCTTAGTTGCTCCACGGCATGTGGGATCCTCCCGGACCAGGGCCCGAACCCGTGTCCCCCGCATTGGCAGGCAGACTCTCAACCACTGCACCACCAGGGAAGTCCAACCACTAATCTTGATGGTTGTGTGGAGTCTAAATTTTTAAAAAGAGAGGTCATTTAGGAAGCGAAGATGATATGGTCTTGAAGCAGAGCAGTGGTAGTGTAAATGGGAAGGAGGAGATATTTATAACATGATTCAGATATAGAGTCAACTGCAATTGGTGACTTAAAGGATGTCTAGGGGTGAGGGAGATGGAGGCACTGAAGAGATTGCTAGTTAAGTGACTGGTAGATGGTCAAGCCATTGTTCACTCAGTAGCATGTACCCAGCATCTACTACCCAAAGTCACCAACATACAAAGAGTTCTTGTCATCTTATGCTGTTTACATCTTATAATCTAATCATACATCTTCATCTTTGGTTTCCTGTATCCTTGTTGACCTTTGTTTCCTCTGTCTTCTCTCAACAACTTTAATTTCCCCTCCCTTTCTTTGGTTGCTAGCAGTGTTGAAGATCTCATGCTATGTAGGAACAATCCTTCCTTCAAACTCTTAACATCTTGGCACTGGATCAGAGTTAGAGGAATGGATTTTGAACCGTTTTTAAAAAACAAAAAACCCAGAAGATTTCAGATCAAAAAGAAAAACTAGGGACTTCTCTGGTGGTGCAGTGGTTGGGAATCCACCTGCTAGTACAGGGGACACGGGTTCAAGCCTTGGTCCAGGAAGATCCCACATGACGTGGAGCAACTAAGCCCGTGTGCCACAACTACTGAGCCTGCGAGCCATAACTACTGAGACTATGAGCCACAACTACTGAAGCCTGCACATCTAGAGCCCACGCTCCGCAACAAGGGAAGCCACAGCAATGAGGAGCCCACGCACCGCAACAAAGAGTAGCCCCCGCCCGTCACAACTAGAGAAAGCCCGCCCACAGCAATGAAGACCCAACACAGCCAAAAATAAAAATAAATAAAATACATTAAAAAATAAGAATAGAAAAGAAAAAAGAAAAACTAGGGAATTCCCTGGAAGTCCAATGGTTAGGACTCTGTGCTTTCACTGCCAAGGGCCTGGGTTAAATCCCTGGTTGGGGAACTAAGATCCTGCAAGCCACGAGGCACAGCCAAAAAAAAAAAAGGGCTTCCCTGGTGGCACAGTGGTTGAGAGTCCGCCTGACGATGCAGGGGACACAGGTTCGTGCCCCGGTCCGGGAAGACCCCATGTGCTGCGGAGCGGCTAGGCCTGTGAGCCATGGCCGCTGAGTCTCCAAGTCCGGAGCCTGTGCTCCGCAACGGGAGAGGCCACAACAGTGAGAGGCCCACGTACCGCAAAAACAACAACAACAACAAAAATCTAGGGTAACGTTAGATATTTGACAATTCAGCAAATATCACAACCATCTGTACCAATGTATCTTGATAGAGGACACTATTCCCCAAGGCATATCATCCCAGTCAGATGATACAGAACTGGTCAAAATTGTGTGATTATACCTTTCCTCCTGATTCACGGGTGTAACAATTTACCAGTTTTTAAATTTATAATTCACAGTATTTAAGCAAGTAATACAAAACCAGGCAGAAAGGGAAAGTAAGAAATTAACAAACTGAAACCAGGAGAGCAACAGTAAAACTATGGTAAAAAGATGAATTGTGCCTAGAAAATTATTCTACATAATGACTAATAAAAATTTGGCTTTGTAGAACACTTGATTTATGGAATTTGCACAGAATATACAACTGAGGTAGAAAAAAATCACATTAAAAATAAAATTACAAGACCAAATAACCCTATTAATCTTTTCTACTTTATTTAGGGTGTTGCTCACAATTTCCCCCTGCCAAATGTTTAAAAAAGCTATTCACAACTCTTACCAACCAAATGAACTGTTGCCACTGAATTTAAAAAATGATATATAAATAAGGCAAATTTGCACAACAGTTAGGGACAGAAATATTTAGTGATAGCTGTGGTGATATAGTGGTGACTATTAATCATTCTAAATTCGGTATCGTAAGAAACAGTTTTCGCTTAGTTGTATAACAGGATCTTTGTAAGCTGCTTGCTATAATCAGGCTGAGACAGTAAAACAAACTCTACTGATGCCAAACATTGGAATTATCTAGTACATGAAGCAGGGCTGTCGTGCTCTGTTCTGTCCTTAATCCCAATCTATGTGCCACTTGTTCCCTTCTTTCTCTTACCAAAAGGGTCAATAATTTCTCAAATCCAGAGATACCTCACACTTTGAATTCAAAGACAATGTACCCAGGAAGGCACTAATTCTTTAAGGCAGAAATCCATGCCAAAATAAAAATTCTAAACTCCACAACCAGAGAGTTTGGTTACGCAGAGAACTGCTTGTGATCTGATGCTTGGGAAAAGGTACTGTCCACCACTTATGACCTCACCTCAGGTTCTGAAGTTTAATGTAGTGTAGTTTAATAACCAGTGTACAGATCTGACTTAAAAATGAAGGCTTAAATGATAAAGACAGGTGCTATTCAAGGTATTAAATACAAATCCTCCAAGCTACTCCTTTTAACCCTGAATCACAGTTATCAGAGTTCTCTATCGTAATCCTGTCCCCAGACCTTCCAGTTTAAGGCTGTACTTTCCAATCAACTAAAAATCAAGGTCAGGTTTATTCTTTCCACTGTTACTTAATAGTGGCAACTCTGGCCAATGCAATAAATACTGGAAAGGAGACAAAATTATTATTTATAGACAATGTTATTTTAAAACCTAGAAGTTCCAAGAGAATTACTTGGAAAATGATTACACCTATTAAAGGAAGAGAGTAAGACCAAAATAAATTAAACAAACAAGTAAATAAATTTAATTCAATGGAGAATATGTTTTGGATAATAAAACAATGTAAAAGTAACATTTCTTCCCAGTAAGTCATACAATATTTAATGATGTTTTAATAAAAATCTTAGTGTGTTTTTTTGGTACTTAAAATGCTTCTGATGGTCATCTTAAATACTTTTTTGTAGTGGCCAAGGAAAATATAAAAATAAAAGACTAAAATACATAAAAATAATATACTTATTATAAAGCTACAGTAATTATAAAATGTAGCCACGGTAGAGGAAGAAATAGATGATCTGTCAACAAACATTACTAGCGTCCACTGTATTTCAGGCAGTGAGTCAGTCCCTGGAACTACAATGAACCAAGAAGACATGGTCCTTATTCTCAAGGGGCCTTTAGATAAGAAA